TGTTACCAAAAAAATGTCATAGTTTGTGTTAACAAGACGAATCCAAATCAGAGAAATATAAATATTTTATTAATATATCACAAAGTAAAGTTCTTTATGCGCTCTTCCTGCATGAAAACTAAAATGCAACTGCGGACCATACTAAAATGCCTGACCATACAATTTTGCGAATTTTAATGCAAAGCACAAGCGGCTTCGTAATTTGAGGACACATTCATACATAGACTGTGCATAGAGCTCACCTCAAATTCAGTGGCAAAAATGGGGAAGAGGAGGCTAAAACAAAAAGGGAAAATGAAAAATGTACTTGGCAAAATACGCGAAATTACGCGAATAAAATTTACATAAGCAAATTGCATAAAATCAACAGGACCCCGGCTCACACAGACAATTGGAGTTGGACATGTGTGAGTGTCGTCTGTGTGCACAATATAATTATGTTGATTCATTTATGTTTAATTAACTGCGCGCTGCGTATTTATAGATATAAATGAAACATTCATTTAAATGCCGGCGCTGCAAATTGGATTTGCGTTCGAGTTTGAAATTGAAATTGAAACAGGATGAAATCTCCTGATTGATGTTCGGTAAAGTCCACAATGGAGTGGCCTCTGTTCCTGCCACCCACTTAATGGCCAAAGAAGTGTCAAAGAAATGCTAGAACAAAAAAAATAGGAATAAGTGTCCAAATGACTAATGTTGCCGCACAAAGAATCTGGAATAAGTTTACGATGGTAAGCAGGAAATTAGACAAATGCGCCGACTTTTTGCATATTTCAAATCCGAAAATTCAAGACCATTTAATGTGGATATACCTCCACTTTGCCTAATATATTCCTATTCGCTAGGGGACTTCAAAGCCAGCAAAAGTAAACTTAAAGGTGGAGCAGAAGTAAGCCCTAATGGACTTTGTGGCTGGCATTTAATAAAAATAATATTCCGACCTAATGGCCTGCAATTGATTTTGACTTATTACCATCTGTCAATATTTGATGAGGATATGTAATACGATTGAGGATCTCAGGAACTCAGCCACATCTTAATGCACTAAACAATTTCACGACCGATTGAAGCCGAATGACTTTTGCATAGGATAAATCAGGCGAACTTTCGGCTTAGCCGAGTTTATCGCAGCTCAGTTGGCATAAGCTCGATTCAGTTCGATTTGGCTCAATTTTTGTGGCCATGACGTAGGCCAACGGAAATGTGGTGGATGCGGAAAGGGTTTTGTGCGGCTCAATTGACAGATGACAGAAAGGAGCTCTCCAAGGACCTCCCATTCGTCTCCTGTCTATTTTTGCGTCTGAAGTGAGCGCACGTGTTAAGTGGCAATCAATTGACAATTTCTGTTCTGTAATTGCCACACTTTTGGTGTGTCACTCGAAATATCTGTTACCATTTCACTTGAAGCCCTGTCGTTCTGCCTTTGTTTCGTCCTTTTTGGCCTGGCCCTGTGCTGAATCATAAGCAAGAATCTGTGGTGCTCAACGCCAAAAGGAAAATTGGAACACAGAGTTGGGGACAGAGCCAGAAAATTAAAACGAAAATACCTACCCAAAACAGCTCTTCAGGCTTTCGAGGACTTTCGTTCTGGCCAAAACGATTGTAACAACTCAAGAATGGCAACACAAACAGTTTTCAACAAGTTAACTCAAATAGTTGAGATAGAAATGGAGTTTAAACACATTACGTTAGCTATATATTCCTCCCCAATAAGTCAGGCTAATCTAATTTGATGTGCAAGTGGCCGAAACCGAGTGGTGGCCAAAAATTAAGGACTGGAACCCCCCGGCTCATATATCAAAATTCAAGAGCCATGAAGCAGCCACCACGGCATCAACATCATAACTCAAACTGAGATTTCTAATTCTTTGGGGCATGGCTGCGAGAAAAGCGATTACCAGTGAAGGAATAAAAATAAAAACGAGCAACAAAAATGCGCTGATTCGTTGAAAATTCGATGACAATTAATTACAGTTACGGGCAAGGCGTGAAAATGGCCAAAAAACGGGAAAATGAAGAATCGCTGGCGAAAATAAGGCGGCATAAATAAGCGTCAGCAAATTATAAATTAATTCAAACGCATTTAATGAAGAAAAACACCGAGCAAACAGAAGGCCGCGAAAAACACTGCGAAAAATATTGAAAACCTATGCACTGCTCAAGATACTCAAAGTGAAAAAGTAAAAGTGAAAGTGAAAGTGAAAATTGAGCGGAACAGATTGAAATCAATGCGAATAACAGGAATATTTTTGGGCATTTCATAATTACGCTAACCATAATTCGTTTAGTGTGCAAGGAGAAGTACTCGCCAAATGCAAATTCCGGCCAAAACCAAACAGCGGACCAAAGACCATTTGAAGGACAAAGGGCGCAGGGGGCGTGGCCGCACAGCGCGCAGAGCGCACAACTCAGTCAGACGTTTGAATTAAATAAATGAAATACATAAATAAAAACAGATGAGCTGTTGCCGTCGCTGCCACAAAAGTTGGCCAAAAGGGAAACGACCAAAGTAAACAGCGTTTGGCGGGTGGGGGCGGCGGGGCTAACAAGTTGGCGGGAATGTGCTGCCTCCAGGGTTCGATTAAATGCTACCCTGCAGGCGGAATCACGGAACCGAAACGACCCCTGACCCCGGTTCCCAACTGTTTGTCCAGTTTGTCCAGTTTGTCCAGTCCCATTTGGAAGGTCAGCAAAGCAATCGGCGGACGGAAATATTAAGGGCTAGAAGCCGAAAATTGCCAAGGATTCCTGCGCGATTTAAGTGGGCTAAGTATTATGCACACTGTTTTTGCTATTTATATATATTTATTTTTATTTACCAGTTATTCTGTGCATTTTGAGTGCCGAAAGTGTATATCTCCCATATGGAGCCCTTGAATTAATTCCCATCTAAGCTGAGAGCCTAAGACACCCAAATGCTTTTCAATTGTATGTGGAAACACATAAAATTACCAAAAATAAAAATGAAGACGAAAACGATGAGGGACCAGTTGGTTAAGGAGGTAATGCAACCCCAGCAATTAATCAGTGAAATTGCAGGCGGAATAAAATAAGAAATGAGCCGCCAGTCGGAAAGTCAAACCACAGACAGAGTTAATGTTTATGTAATCTCCCCTTTGGAAAAGTGTCGAGAATTTCGCACAATTAAACCGCCGAAGGCGTTAAGGCCACGTGATCTAATTTGAACAAACAACCAACGGAATAATAGCGTTCAACAAAACCTATATGCGAAATTAAACAAAAACTTTTGGACCGACATTTCATGGCAGTTGGCATTTAAGTTATCTGCTCGGCTGACAGCCATTTTCATCCTAAATTCATTTCAGCCTCTAACATTGAGCACAAATAAACAAAAAACTTTTGCCAATTTCATATATCAAAAGCCAGAAAGTAATCGAATTGGAAGCGATAATGAAAACGCAGCAATTGTAGCGCTCTATATTTACATATACTCGTAGATACGTATTGTTTGCACAGAGAAAACTCTTTGAGCGAGCTAATGAAATGGAAATAGTGTGCATCGAGTGGAAAGGTAATTAACCAAAATAACTACTAATAATATCCACATTCAAGACTATTAAGTGACTTATATACACACTAAAAGATACCTTTTGGACTTGGAAATAGCTGAGAAAGCGGTTTAGCAAGTGCATGAAACATAAAAAGACGAAGAGGCGGATGACTTAATGCGGGTGTTCACTGTACCCCGTATCTGGCGTAGTACAGATGCGACTGCCTGTAACTCCTGTCTGATATCTGCATTCGTGTGGTCGTAAATCGTTTTTGCTCGTCGGATCCGCCTGCTCGCCGCTCAGCGGCTGGGATTTATGATACAAAATGCGAAAATCTCCTCCATCTGCCACGCCCCCACCGCGCCGCCACAGTTGCCGCCATATTTGTCAGTCGCAAAATGGCTGCTAGATGGCAAGTCTAACGCTTTTTACGGCTGTCACTTTCAGTTTTGTGTTACTTTTCAACACATTTTTGACACAGTCAGCAGAGCGATGGACAATGGATGGGGACAGGCGGTGAGGGGGGAGGGGCGAGGGGCAGAGGGGCTCAGGGGAAAAGCGGACGGAATTCCCCTGAAGCGTTCCATATACATATATCTATATAAATATCTATATATGTGTGTGTGCGTCGAGTTGAACGCCTCCTGCGTTTGGCCATTTCCTTTCGACTCGCCGCTTTTCCCATTTCCATTTACATTTTCCAGCCAAACGGCTGAAAACTCGCCTGGAATTGTTGTTAAATACTTTTGGGCTTAATTGCATAGAAGAACAACAAAGGCTTAAGCCCATTGGATACCCCTTAGTGTCAGCATTACTTTGAGAACAACTTTACACTGGGAAAACTTTATGCTGCTAAAATCGTGCTTCTGCATATGTTAATCTATTAAAAAATCCACGATAATTAGTCACATGCTGAGTATTACATTTGTTACATTTTTCAGGGACATCGCTAATGTAGATGGACTAGTGATACCCCGCGAGATCGTTTTGCTCCAGGGTACGATAAAGACGAAATTGAATAGCGGACATTAATCAAGTTTTACTTGGCCCCGAATTGCCGAAACGGCAGCCCGCCTGCAATTTGCTCGCCCGGAGTCCTGCTCTTCGATCCGTAAAGGAAGCAAACTGTGCCGTACCGCCCCATCCTCCGGCGAAGTAGTCAGTCAGGTGAATGGATGGTGAACGGCTGGTGAACGCTGGTGAACGCTGGTGAAAGGAAACGTCGGCGGTGGCAGTGGCGCAATCGTCTGGACAAATGTTTGTGGCCAGGCCATTAAGTGCTGCAGTGCAGCCGAAGATGCCGGCAGCCCGGACAGCTGTGTAATTATAGCAAAATATTTGCGCAGGCATATCAATTAAGGACAAGCCATGACTGTCCGTAAATGGGAATTGCAGAAATATGAGACGCCCAGGGAAAGCGATCGAATCGAAATGCAACCAATTGGCCAATTGTAAGTGCACCTCTTACTTTTCACTTGCGAATTCGCATTGAAACCATCGGTTATCACTATTTAATAAAACATTTTAATAGTTCCATAAATCAAACGCACAGGAAGTAGGAAGCATACGCCCAGAAACGGTGGACAAATCAGTACCAGCAGTCGCCCCGCGCACCAGATCCTGCTCCCTGGCCAGCTCGTGCTCCTCCGCCATAGGCCTGATTCATATCCATGCCGTTGTAGGCGTAGAAGGCATCCACGTCGTCCAGTCCGGGCTCCCGGAATTGAGGACAGTAGTTCGGCATGGGACAGCTCATCTGACGAATATCGCCCATGCCCATCCGCTGATAGTAAGTGCTCTGCGAATGGGGCTGAGAGTGATGGTAGCGCTGGTAGCCACAGGAATTGGGACTCCACATATCCCCCATCTGGGGATATACCGGCGAGGTGACTGGCTGACCGTCCCAGAAGGATAGCGTATTCCACACCATGGTGCTGTAACAAATTTGCACGGAATCGGAAATGTTTTCTTTCTATTTTTTGTTTGTTTTATAAAAATGTTCTTTTTTTTTGAATTTGGCAATTTTATTCGGCTACGATCCAAATGGTATCGAGAATGGATTTCAACTGACCCCAGCTCGCCCGGAAACTCAGAATCTGGCCAAATCGTGCTGACAGCGAGCACAAGGCCCACTTTTGGTGGCAATTTCCAAATTTTGATTACTTCAACTAAGCATGCGTGGCAATAAAACTCCAACTGAACTTATGTTCATGCTCGATGGCTAATTTGTGGCTGGTCATAAAGAGCGTCGCATTAAAACTCGCAGGCAGCGACGAAACATTTTATGATGTATGCACTTCCTTTATGGCCTTTTATGGCAACTTGAAACAAAACGATTAAGCTCCGTATCGGGCCATTAAGCAAAGTGCCATTGTAAAGGGGCGCCGAGTCCCAGTGCCCAGCTCCCAGCTCCCAAAACCCAATCCCTAATCCGTGTGCAACTGCCAGCGCCACATCTTTCCACCTTCCCCGGATGAGCAGGAGGCGGAGAACTTGGCAGGACTCCGCCCAGGGGAGCAATAGCAATCCGCTGCCTGGTCAAACTTTTCTAGTGTCAGCTCCGGTCCAGGCCGCAGGCCACAAACAAACACATGCCTAATGAAGCGCATCCCAGCCAGAATACGCCACCTCGCCATTACCCAGCACAGTGGGGTGGGCGCACTCCTGGGCAGGGCGAGTCCTTGGGGCTTCAAGTTTCCCGTTTTTCGGCTCTCTAACTTACTTCGAAAACTCGAATTCGTTTTCGAAAGTTTCGAAAGTTTAAAGCTGCCCCTGCCCCACAAATATTCCATAAAAGTGGGTATATCCATAGGTATCCCCAATATCAACTGAGTTGCACACACTTCACGCCTCTTTTAGTTGCACATGCATTAGGCGGCGAGTAGCCCCTTTTATGACTATATCTGTTGCAGCAATTTGCGGACCACTGTCGACCACTTTTGACCTGCCCCCTGCCCTTTCATGGAGGCGGCCACCATCCATGTCCTGCTCCTGTCATCATGGCTGGCATTGTTGTTGCTGCACCCGGGCGACTGTTGTAGCTACCAAGTTGGCAATACCCACTAATTTATGCGTATTCAAGTTTAAATTGGAATTGCGTGCTACGTGTGGAACAGCTCCTGGGGGTCAAGTTACAGGGTATGCACCCAGAAAAGGATCCACATGCCATTGACTATTTATTGGGAAATATGTAAGCTATAACTTTCCCTTGCATGATGCAAATGCTCGTAAATATACCCTAAGCGATGTTAAAATATCTCTGAGTTCCTCACGACCTTTTGCACTTCTTAAAGTGGGAAAACAAAGTTGGCACACATACCTAAATAAATATTTTAATAATTACTATTAATATCTGCAGTTTGTTTTTGGATCACCCCTTCTTTTTCTGATGTGCTGTTGCCTTTGGCCTGCAGGCGCTTCAAAACGTTGACGTTGACCAAATTGGGCATTTTGGTCAATGGCTGTGAGTGGGTTGAGTAGCAGGTGGGTGGTGGGTGGTGGGTGTGGGTGGTGGGTGGTTGGATGGCTGCGATAAAGTGGGCGAAGCGGCTGATGATGTGGTGTATTCTGCAATCACGCACTCACACACGCCGGCTGACAAGGCAGGGCCAAAATGCATTCCATGTTTATTGTATTGCATTTTGCTGTTCTCAATGTCGCTTTGCGCACACTGAAATCTTTGCTGCTTATCAGGTGATATAGTTTTGTGTGGTAATTTGGTAAGATGTCAAAACTGCTTTGACTTGGAGATATACTTAAGTGTAGTTTTTGCTGTGCACTTCAGTTAGTAAAATTTCGTCAACTTTTTTCTGTGTATCGTTAGCATGCACGCACGCATTTTTCCCGCCCTCGACCACGCCCCCAATTTCCCACCATTTAAATGCAAATGCACTGGCCATGTCTCTAGATATCTCGCAGTGTTTCTGCTCATTGTTCTGTCATATGTCTGCCCTTTGTTTTCTGCGTTGGCTTTTATTTTTATTTTCGTGGCTAGCCTTCACTTAGCGAAAGATTTGTTCTGCTGCTACTTTGCCAAAAAAAAAGCGTTAATAGTTTACATAAACATAGAATAGTATATCAATATATTGCGCAATATAGTGCACAAATTACCCATTTAACTTGTTTTGAATATTGCGCTTAATTAAACAATATATCAAACTTTAACCAATTATAAACGTTGTAACTAAAACACAATGTACGTTTTCCCGACTTTTATTAGAAAGTTCCCAATTATAATTCGTCAAAACGTGTTGACCATTTTCACAGTGCTTGACTATTCGGGCGATTTTCTCTGTTTTCCTTTTGATGCCACTTCATGCTCCGCCCCCTCTTGCCTTCCCCCCTTTTGACCGTAATTACATAGCCTAATTGTTGCTGCTGCCAGTCTTCCTTTGCCGTTGCTTTTGCTGCTGCTGTTGGCAGTGTCCGTTACCAACAATAAGTGCTGCCTTTTGGCCAGCATCGAAATGAGCCGAGTTAAGCACTTGAACTGCAATTTGCGAATGCGGCATGTGGCTTAACCCTACACCGCCTTCAGTGCATTTTAATTGTTGCCAGATTTTCACTTGCCAAACAATATATCAAAGTTATCAATTTGAGCCGCCACCTAATTGGCATACCCATCAAATACCTATCAGCGAATATATGACCCAATAATGGAGCAAATATAATATTTGTAATAGCAACATGGCGTATACGTGATCAGCGCGAATTTATTACTCATACGCCAAGTTGTATTTGCAAAATAAATCGTTATAGAATTGAATCAGTTTTTAAATAGGCTTGAACTTATATAGAATAGTATGTAGGCAGAGAACATTTTCCATCTGCACATTTTCCCCCCAACGCCAGCCTTCATTTATTTGTTGTTTGCCCCCAAAAGTGGTGCTCCTTTGCCATCCACAATAAATACCAGAAACTGTCAAACTGCTGTCGTTGCTGTAAAATGTTAAACATGAAATCCAAAACAAGCCCACAGCAACAAGGATATAGGATATGGGATATAGAACAACAACCATGCCGGTATGACATATGAGTGCCGCTGTCAAACGTCGTCGGAGCAGGAAGATTTATGTGCCTCTAGCTTGGCGGGTAAACCAGCCGAGGAGCCACGTGTCCCGGGACCAATCATAAAAAAATAAAACGAAATACAGATATGAAAAAAAGGGTAGAGAAAATGGGAAAACGGGAAAACGTTGAAGAGGAGCCGAAGGATAATTGGAACGGGCTCGTTTTGCCGATTCGCCAGGAAAACTGGCTAATGAAAAGTGCGAAGTGGCGAAAGTGTTAAGATTTGTGCCAGAACTTGTGCTTCGCTGGCTTTATTTTCCCCCATTCGTGTTATTGTTTCAGCCAACAGGCGACACATGGTGCCTTGTGATTGATGCGATTTATCCTTTGACAGGCTCGCACCCATCGCCAATCCCAACCCCAATACCCATCGCCATTGCCATTCCCTGCGCGCCGAAAAAGACGCTTCATCAATGCGACAATGTCCTGACAATCCTTTGACAGTCGCAAGTGCAAGACAAACAAGCTGCACTTCCGCCCCCTTTTGCGCCACGCCCACTTTTCCACCGCACGCATGAGAAACATATGCAAATGCAGGCCATCGTGGTGCTCAAGTCGTTGGAAAATGCCGGAAAACTTATTTAGCTTATTAATTTTATAAAAAAATATATATAGAAAATACTTAAAATGCGTGGTAGACGATTGCCCCAAATTTAAACATTGACAAATAGTCTTCATCCAATTATTTCGCTCCTTTGAGCCATCGGACCACGGTTCACGCACCCAAGAAGCGGCAATCTGGACGGGATGTGGGCAAACATGTGCCCTGTCAATATGCCAAGAACCGAATGCAGCTGGAAAAATAAAAAGGGGTTCCCATTCCATTTGCAGCTATGGAAATGCCGGCGGAGGGAAATGGCCACATTTCCCTGGAGGAATCCTCAGCCGCAGTGCCAGCAATAATTATCGACAAGCATCTTTCGCCGACCAAACTCATATTTCAGCCATCTGCAATCTCAACATTTTCGCAGGCAATTTCAAAAATTGAATGTTCAAGCGGGCCTGCTCAGTGGGCATAAATTTGGGGCTCCTCCGGCAATCAAAACAGGCTCACAGGCTCTAAGCCAGGAGCTGCTGTTGGCTTTGATTAATAGCCAGGCCCATAAATCCGATGGCGATGGCGGGGAGCCAGGTGAGGGCACAGGTAAGTAACTTGCATAAGTTAGCCGCTCGGCCAACGGTCAACGGGTCGGCTACTTGTTATGGCCGCACGCTAATGAGAGGAAAGTGCTGTGCGGCGCGGCGGAAGAGCGAAAAAATGGGAAAATGGGAAAATGGGAAAATTCGGCGGGGGAGGCTGTCCGGCTTCCGTGTCCCAGGCAACAGGATGTCTGTCATGTCAGTGGCGCTGCGCCGCCTGTCATTTTTCAGACTTTGCCCGCCAACCGACAAAAAAACAAATGACACTAATAAGTTGAGCGTGGCCAAGCAGCGGGAGTCGTCCAAATACACTCAGAACTATTTCCAAGTCTCTAATAGTACCTAGCACATTGTACATAAATGCAAACTCCTACTTAATTAAACATCCATTTAAGAAAGAACCCATTTCCTATGTCCATAATCAGTAATACTCATTATCAAGATAAATAGTGATTTAAATAGCTGAGGAAATATAAGTACTAAATGCAATTGCGCATACCTAGCCATTTTTCAATTCAAACCTATTTGCCGTCCAGCCCATTGTGTGTTTCAAAGAAAAGTAAATACTGCATAAGCCTATTTTTCAAGTGAACAGAAGCCAGTTGGGTAGCAAAATATTTTCCAATTACCAAAGAAATATCCCCTATCCCCATTCATGCGCTCGATAAAAGGCAATTAAAAATGACTTATGCCATTGTTTTGGCTTCTGCCGGTCGAACGCTCAAAGTTTTATGGGGTCACCCATAGGCCACGCCCCCTCATGCCCCCTCATGCCCACCGCCCACAACACCACAAACATGTGTGTGCAATGGGCAAAGTTTTGTTTTGGAATACTTCTGGCTCAAAATGAAATTGACTCGAATGCAAAGCGAATACAAAATGTGCCGGGAGTGTAAAACAAATCGCAGTACAAATTCTTGATTAGCTGGGAAGGAAGTGCCACTTATTACTTTATCTTTTCTTTTTTTGAAACGAAACCCATTACAACTTGCCACAGGAAATTTCATATCGAAATGCTCTAGCGTTCGGCTGTGGCAATGAAATCGCGACAGAAGTTAAACAGCCAACTCGCGCAGAGCGGAATTTCATTAAATATATTTTTAAAATACGAAAAAATGGATGGGCAAGTGGAATGGTGGCCGTTGAAAGGGGCAGGGGCAGGGGCAGGTGCCATAGTTGGCCATAAATACTGCACACACCCATAAAAAGCCAACGCCATCGGCATGCAAAATGCATGGCACTGTGGGTCGAAAAGGGGCGTGTTCCGCCATAAACATTTGCATTTGATGGCCTTCAGAAGGAGCGGGAGGTGGCAAGGAGTTGACATAAAATAAGATAATATTCGCAATCAAACGGAGCCGAGGGCTCGCCATAAATTTGTAGCCACCGCTGGGGCAAGCAGCAAGGATAATGCATCCGATAGCGGACACAGTTGCGGTCAGGCGACTCATCGCAGGACCCCAACTTAAATACATTTTACTATGCGAAATTCCGGAACTCTTGTGTGGGTATTCCAGCTAAACTGAGCGCCTTTATCGTTTAGAAATAAGTTTTATAGCAATCGCAAATTGATATTGCTTACTTTGGCATTCTCAAAACTGATACTTTAGTATCCTTTGCTAAGCAATTTATGGGTGCTATTATTTCGACTGCAGTCGTTTGTCAAGCGACAGCTGTGCGAAATTGCAGCCAGGAAAAACCTAGAGTTGTGTAATGATTTGTATTCCATAGCTAAGTCTAGAAAGGGCTTGCCTGGATATTTAATATTTAGAATTAAAGAACTAATTGCTTAAGCTAACACTATGATTTTTATTCCACCAACAGCTTGTGAACAAAAGGGTCTTGAAATGGGACCTCAGATTTCCTACCAGAAGTCGCCCCTATTTGCGCCACAACAGCCCATATCCACGCCATTGTAGGCGCAGAAGGCCTCGCCATTATCGATGCAGGGCTCGCAGGGTGCTTGATCCCCTCCAAATCCAGATCCCAGGGCCTGCGGCTGACCATAGCAGTTGGCTGGCATGGGAGCACTGCTCATCGGCCGGAAGTCGCCCATTCCCTGCGGCATCCGTGGCATCCTTGGGCCGCAGGACGATGCCGCTCTGGGCCACTGGCCACCGACGAAGCCGCTCGCATGGGCATTTATGGCATCGCCCATCTGGGGAAAGATGGGCGCATTCACCGGCTGGCCGTTCCAGAAGGAAAGCTCGTTCGACATCTCAAGAAGTTATGTTTTGAACAAATGCGTTGATGAATTTGGTTTCGAAATTTGGTAGTTCAAAATTTGGGGATTCAAAATCAAAAGTTAATTTTAGCTCTGCTTGGTTTCGAGTGCCGTATGTTTATGAAAATTTCCAGGCGATGGATTTTGAAGGGTCTAGAAACACAATTTCAAGGGTGAGTTGATGTCAAAATGTTTTTATAAATTTCAAAGAAAATACGGCTACTAAAAGAAATGCCAGAATTGGCAATAGGCATATTATTTAATTAACTTTTTCTACCACTTAGCACAGCCTTCGCGCTTATTTGCCAGTGAAAAATGAATAGCCTACTTTTGAGGGCGATTCTAATTGACAGTTAAGGTCGCGCTTTCTGTTGATTCCTGGCAATTCTCAGCCGCTCCTTGGACAGGACATGGCAGCCTTCGCACTCCAGATTAGATGGCATGGAATCCTCGCCTTTTTTCCGCCTCCATCAATCGCGGCCGCCCACTGAGAATGTTAATTAGCAGCTGACCGAGCATTTGGTCATGCCACCCCCTAGGCATCCAGTCTGCCGCCCACGCCACCCACTTCGATGGCAGTCAATTAGCCGACATCAATGGACACGCCCCTCCGGACAGGAGCCCGCCCACTTTTCGAAGACCGCCCCTTCTCCGCGACAGGATCATTTGCCGCCTGCTGTTGCGTGCATTTAATGCGCATTAATTGCGCATAATTAAATTTTCTACAATTTTATTATGCACTTTACATGGCAAATGCTGAACATTAAAACCAGATTAAAGTGGCAGAAATAATGGCAAACTGATAGTTTTAATCCCGTTTTCGGACCGTCGGCGTCTTTTTTTCGGCGTCTTCGTAATGCTGGGAAATCTGCTTTTTAATGAATAATTAGTAGACATAAAAAGTCCCACGAACGCCATTTGGCTTTTCTCTTATTTCGCGGCCATTATTTTCTGCCGCTCTTTTTGCATCTGTCATTTAACTGGAATCGTGTCAGTGGCGCTGTCATTGTTGTCAATATTATTATTATTATTATTATCATCGCTTTTGCTGGCCGCTTTTCTCTTCCTTTTCGTGTTTGCCAGTTAAATTTCTGAATGAATATTTAATTTCATTTTAATGCGGCTTAAATGCCATAAAACTTACCCACACACAGCTTCTTGCCCATATATATATTTATATAATGTGTTGCAGGGGTTTGCAAAGCCATCATTTAAAACACAAAAACAACTTGAAAGTTTATGCATATCGTGAACTCAAGAAATTCAAGAGATTCCCTTTTAAAGCTAAATTAAATTCATCGTTAAATCAGAACGCATAGCTTTAATCCTTTTAATGAACATGCACATGCTTCTATTTAATCTGCTTTGCCCCAAGAATCCTAGTTTTTTAGCTCCGTAATTAAATATGGGCAAATTAAAATTTTTGTTCGCACTTTTTTAATCAAATTATTTTATGTTCCCTGAATACCATTTAAATGCTTTTCCAGCCCAGTTGCTGACAAAATCTCTAGCATGCGAGAAGTGCGTACTATATCGCACTCGGGGAAATTCTCTCTGCAGAGTGTTTCCGCTGGCATCGAGGAAAAGTCCCAGGCGCAGGATATTTCCTTTGGCTTTCCTAATGCGGTGCCTAGACTAGCTGCTGGGCGAGGGGTGGCAAGGGGGTGGGGGTGCTGCTGCTGCGTTGAAGATGTTCCAGCATTTTACGCATATTTTTGGCGCCGGTAAACTGTTCCGCTGCCTCCTTGTGCATCGAGAAAAATATTAAATATCTCGCCAGTTACTTTTAATACCCCTTGCTCGTGGAGTGGACGGGTATGCTAGCCACGTTGAAAATTTGGCACAGGTAGAGGGTAGCGTTTGTGGTTAAAGCTAGGTAAAGTACACATTCTTGATCGGTAGCTAGATTAAATCTAGAAATCGGATCAAAGTTTGATCACCCCAAGGTCCTCGGCTTTTCTCGCCGTGTACTATGTCGTGACAAAGTTGTCTCTTTTGGGGCCCTGAAATGGCTTTCTTGGCGAGCGAACGAGCGAACGAACGAGTTGAGCTTGTGTTCGCTTGGCTAATTAAACATTTGACAATTATTAATACATTTCAAATGGTTGCAGCGAGAACGAAAAAAGAACTGAGCAAATATTTAACAGCTGCTCAGCGCACACACACACACCCACACACACATGCCCATGTGTGCACCCATACATGTGGAAGGCCCACCACTCACCACGCCCCCTTTGTGCCAAGTGGGTCGACGCCTTCCGAGTGTTTGCCACTGCGTCATTAAAAGCGGGAAATGGTGGCAGGATCACTGGGAAAAGCTCCACCTTCCATTACCCATTAGTATTTCACTGCAGAGCAATTGCCAATTTGACACAATATACCTAATAACTTAAATCGAAACCCTATTTTGAACATATATGTTGAGCATCTACAAACTATTCAGGCCCACGATTTCTTGCAGTGTAAGGCCCAAGAGAGGTAAGTTTGGAGAATGGATGACAGCTTTTCACTTCTGTTTTTATTTTCATCACATTCCTATTTGTTGTTGCCGCCGTTTTAATTGCTGTTGTTGGTGCTGTTTCTTATTATTATTATGCTAGCCTTGCTTTTATTTAACACCACCTCAAGTTGTCGTTTGTCCCCATTTGACTGGTAAAAATCCCAGGCCAACGAGGCGTATGAGTAACAATGCTTATACTTGTATTCACTGCTCGCAAAATATGCAATATCCCGCATTAAGTCGATATGATTTAAACGATTTAGCAAAAACTGTAGCTATATATGATGTTATTTCAATCAGAAAATCTTTTTTTTAACTCATAGATATGTGTACATAATGAACCTATCTAATAAGCCTGTTTTGCCAACTCGTTTTGGATTTGGTGGTAAGGTAAGGAAACTAATTCACCTGGGCCAGTTGGAGGTGCAAATTTCCTGGTTCATACCCACTCCCAATTATTGCTTTATCTGCTCGTTTCCATGTCTGTTTCCATTTCCGAGAGTCACTTTTATGGTCGCGCTCTTTTGCCTGACTTGACTTGGCCCCGCTCCAAGACCGGGCCAACAGCAAGGTCACCCAAAGACCGCACCACCGCACCACCCACAGCCACAAACACCAACACCCACATCCAGCCACATGGCCACCACGCATGGGCTTAGGCATACTTGGTGTCTAATCAAGCCCAAAACCGAAACAACAAAGGCCCTGGAATGGACACTGGTCCCTGGTCCCTGGGTGGTGGATGGTGGCCAAAGGACAGGTCGGTCCTCTTTGTCAAATGTGTGTCACGACCTTACGCACAAACGGACGATGACAACTGCCGTGGCGATGAGACGCCACCATATCTCACACAAAACGAGTCTTAAACGTTGAATTAAGCCAGCCACAAAAGTAAAAATAGAAACCCAACGGAAATTATATATTTTTATAAAGGTTCCATACAAACAGCATGGCTTTCACACAAAAAGCTAAATTACTTTTAAGGCAATATAGAAGTATAAAAAGGTCTTTGAATTTTATTATCTCATGTATATTTCACTTGAGCCACATACAAATTGTGCAAAACTAAATCAAATTTGCATTTTGAGAAAATAATTTGATAAAATTGATGTGCCATTAGAATTGTATTATTAGTTTAAACTTTACCTAATATAAGATTATTTATGGTGCAAGGAGGCGGTGCGGGTAAATTGATTTGATTAATTAATCATAGCAAAAAGCCAAAAGGAATTTTCAATTAAATACAATCGAGATGTGCACGAAGCTCGGATAAATTCTTCTTTGACTGATTTGTGATTGAGGCTGAAAATTAGGAGCGCACACACACCTAATAAAAGAAATCAAGTATTCAAATATGCTGTCATTTTCCTCACTTGGCTTTTCCGCCACCCAGTTTTTCCGCCAAGCCGGGCGAGTGTTCAACCGCAACTAAGATGGCACTCAGTTCTTAGACGTCTCAGCCGCATCCTTGCCGCCTCTCCTCCTGTCCCACACGAGTTTGCTATAGATCCTGGCAGAATGTTAATCCAATCCCAATGCGGTTGCTTTGTAGTATCTTTGGAGCGATGGCCGTGTGGGTGTCGGGATGTGTTGATTTAAGCTAAGCAAAATCCAAAGCCACGCACGTCTTAACCCTCGAATGCCCACGTTTCCAAATACAAGGTAAATTTAAATCTTCCTATTTTACAGATTTAAATAGATAGCTTTTTTTCATAACAATCAAGAAAAACGTGCGAATATGGAATGTCATATCTCGTTGAACTCGTCGTAAAATTTCCTATCGAATGGCATTCACAGTTAAAAATTAAATTTTTTGCCCATTTTTCGCAAAAAATTATGATGTTACCCCTTATAAAAAATCAGAAAAATTAAAAAAAAAATAATTTTTTGAAAAGATAAAAATTGTGATGGGAATCGATTATTTGGATCATGGGCTGCACAAAACAGTGATTCGTTTGAATCTGTGACCATTTTTGACCAAGTTATAGGAAATTTACCGCTTTGAGAATGTCATATTTCTGCAAAATAGGTATCCCCAATTTTTCAACAAAAAATATTCAGTTTTTTTCCCACAGAAGTTGAGTTCTCAATCCAAATATGGAATGCCATATCTCGTTGAACTCGTCGTAAAATTTCCTATCGAATGGCATTCACAGCTAAAAATAAAATTTTTTGCCCATTTTTCGCAAAAAATTATGATGTTACCCCTTATAAAAAATCAGAAAAATTAAAAAAAAAATAATTTTTTGAAAAGATAAAAATTGTGATGGGAATCGATTATTTGGATCATGGGCTGCACAAAACAGTGATTCGTTTGAATCTGTGACCATTTTTGACCAAGTTATAGGAAATTTACCGCTTTGAGAATGTCATATTTCTGCAAAATAGGTATCCCCAATTTTTCAACAAAAAATATTCAGTTTTTTTCCCACAGAAGTTGAGTTCTCAATCCAAATATAGAATGCCATATCTCGTCGAACTCGTCGTAAAATTTCCTATCGAATGGCATTCACAGTTAAAAATTAAATTTTTTGCCCATTTTTCGCAAAAAATTATGATGTTACCCCTTATAAAAAATCAGAAAAATTAAAAAAAAAATAATTTTTTGAAAAGATAAAAATTGTGATGGGAATCGATTATTT